CAGCATTCTGGAATATTTTTCTAAATGATACTATTTTACCCAAGTAGAATTCATAAAGAAACTGAAATCCTCAGAGACCATTTTAGGATTAATTGGTCTGTTTACTGATGACATTTAAAAAAAATTTTTTTTTTTTTTAATGTTTACTTACTTTTGAGAGAGAAAGAGAATGAGTGGGGGAGGGGCAGAGAGAGAGAGACACAGAGAGACAGAAACCGAAGCAGCCTCCAGGCTCTGAGCTGTCAGCAGAGCCAGATGCAGGGCTGGAACCCCAAAACCATGAGCTCATGACCTGAACTGAGGTCAGACATTTAACAAACTGAGCCACCCGGGGGGCCCCTCATGACTTTTCAGGACTCCAGATTTTATTCAAACTGTGAGGGATTATGTCTTGATTACTTCTCCCAACAATGATAACACTAAAAACTGGGTTCAGGACAGACAGAAGGCATACAGAGTTGACTTTTTATTATAAGGTAATACCAAAAAGATGAAAAATACCTTAAGGGTCTTGGTGCTCTTAGGCTGAATTATATGCAATTGCTGATAATCAACGTGTCCGACTTTGGTATAATGCTTTCCTGAGGATGAATTATACCTCTATGGACTATCTGATCTTTGATAACTCACTCACTAGCTGACAATCCTCACTGTCTAGAGAATTAATTTCTTCCTCACTACAGGAAATGCTGAACTTAAAGGTCTCTGACAAAAAACTACATAAAACACATTTGGACTTTAATTTCAATAAGTCTACCAGGATAATGAAGAAATGACAAGATACTGCAGATTCAGTTACAGACCACCATAATAGAGCAAATACTGCAATAAAATCAACTGAAGTTTCTGGTTTCCCATTGCACATAAAGTTATGTTTACACTATACCATGGTATAGTAAGGATGCAATAGGATCATGTATTAAAAAATGTATATACCTCAATTTAAAAATATTTTACTGCTTGGGGCGCCTGGATAGCCCGGTCAATTAAGCATGTGACTCTTGATTTTGGCTCAGGTCATGATCTCACAGTTCATGAGCCCAAGCCCTGCTTAAGATTCTCTCTCTCTCAAAATAAATAAACTTAAAAAAAATGCTTTATTGCTATAAATGCTAACCATCATCTGTACTTTTAGTGAGTCATGTTTTTGCTCGTGAAGGTCTTGCCTCAATGTTGCTGGCTGCTGCCAAATCAGTGGATGTTTCCTGAAGGATGGGGTGGCTGTGGTAATTTCTTAGAGTAAAACAATGAAAATTGCCACACTGATTAACCCTTCCTTGGACAAATGATTTCTCCATAATATGCGATGCTGTTTGATATTTTACCCACAGAGCTTCTTTCAAAACTGGAGTCAATCCTCTCAAACTCTGCTGCTGCTTTACCAAACTAAGTTTATGTGATATTCTAAATCTTTTGTTGTCATTTTAACAATCTGCACAGCATCTTCACCAGGAGTAGGTATCATCTCAAGAAACCATTTTCTTTGCTCATCCATAACAAGCAACTCCTACCCATTGAGTTTTTTATGATGAGATTATAGCAATTCAGTCACACCTTCAGGTTCCAATTCTAATTCTTTTGCTAGTTCTACCACATTTGTAGTTACTTCTTCCACTGAAGTCTTGAACCCCCAAAGTAATCCAGGAGGGCTGGAATCAACTTCTTCCAAATGCCTGTCCATGTTGATATTCTGACCTCTACCCATGAATCACAATACTCTTAATGGCATCTTAGAATGGTGAATCCCTACCAGGGGCACCTGGGTGGCTCAGCTGGTTAAGCATCTGACTTTGATTTCAGTTCAGATCATGATCTCACAGTTTCTGAGTTTGAGCCCGGCATCCGGCTCTCTGCTGTCAATAGAGAGCCTGCTTTGGATCTTCTGTCTCTCTCTCTCTCTCTGTCCCTCTCCTGCCCACATACTCTCTCCCTCTCTCAAAAATAAAAATTTTTAAAAAAGAAGAAAGAAAAAAAGAATAGTGAATCCTTTTCAGAAGGTGTTCAATGTACTTTGCCCAGATCAACCAGGGGAATGACTGTCTATGGCAGCTACAGTCTTAATAAAATCTATTTCTTAAATAATAAGACTTGAAAGTCAAAAGTACTCCTAAGTGGGGCGCCTGGATGGCTTAAGTCGGTTAAGCGTCCGACTTTCGCTCAGGTCATGATCTCACAGTTTGTGGGTTCGAGCCCCGCGTCAGGCTCTGTGCTGACTGCCAGCTCAGAGCCTGGAGCCTGTTTCAGTCTGTGACTCCCTCTCTCTCTGACCCTCCCCTGCTCACGCTGTCTCTCTCTCTCCTAGAAATGGGTAAAAACATTTAAAAAAAAAAAAAAAAAGTACTCCTAAGCTGCAAAATGGATGTTGTATTAGGAGGCACGAAAATAACATGAATCTTGTACATCCCCACTGGAACTCCTGAGTGACCAGAGTCATTTTCAATGAGCAGTAGTATTTGGAAAGGAATCTTTTTGCTCAGAGCAAGTTTCAATACTGAACTTAAAATATTCAGTAAACCATGTTGCAAACAGAAGTGCTATCATCAACTTTGTTGTTCCATTTTTAAAGCATAGGAGAGTAGATTTAGCATTATTCTTTAGGGACCTATGATTTTCAGGATGATAAATGAGCACTGGCTTCAACCTAAAGCCACCAGTTGTATTAGACCCTAACAGGAAAGTCAGCCTGTCCTTTGAAACTTTGAAGCCAGGCACTAACTTCTCTCTAGCTATGGAAGTCCATCTAGATGGCATCCATCTTCTTTCACTAGAAGGCTGTTTCATCTACACTGAAAATCTACTGTCTAGCACAGCCAGCTTCATAATGATCTTAGCTGCATCTTCTGGATAACTTGCTGCAGCACCTACACCAGCACTTGTTGCTTCATCTTGCACTTCTAGGTAAAGGAGATGATTTCTTTCCTTAAACCTCATAAACCAAACCTGTGTTAGCTTTAAACTTTTCTTCTGCAGCTTCCTCATCTTTTTCAGCCATCACAGAATTGAAAAGAATTAGGCCTTTGCTCTGGATTAGGTTTAGGCTTAAGGGAATGTTGAGATTGGTTTGATCTTCTACCTAGATCACTCAAACTCTCCATTTCAGCAATAAGCCTGTCTCACTGTCGTATTATTTGTGTGTTCACTGGAGTAGCACTTTTAATTTCCTTCAAGAACTTTTCCTTTGCATTCACAACTTGGCTGTTTAGTGAGAGGTTTAGTTTTTGGACTATCTTGGCTTTCAACATGCCTTCCTCACTCAGCTTAATCATTTCTAGCACTTAAAAGTGAGACATGTAAGGACTCTTCCTTTCACCTGAGGGTTACTAACGGGCCTAACTTCAATATTGTGCCTCAGGGAATAGGGAGAACAGAAGAGGGTGAGAGAAATGGCGGAACTGGTCAGGAAAGCAATCAGAACACATACGTTTATTAAGTTTATCATCTTTATGGACACAGTTCGTGGTGCCCCAAAACAATTATATACTAACACCAAAGATCACTGATTACAGGTCACCGCAACAAACATAATGAAAAACTTTGAGATTTTGCAAGAATTGCCAAAATGTGACAGAGAGACACAAAATGAGCAAACGCTGTTGGAAAAATGGTACCAACAGACTTGCTCAATGCAGAGTTGTCACAAACCTTCAATTTGTAAAAACTGCAGTAGCTGCAAAATCCAATAAAACAAAGCATGCTGTGAAAACACAGACTTATAGAATCTTTAAAGTAGCTGCAGTAAAAAAAAAATTTAAAGACTTGGGGTAGGAGAATAAAAGGGACCTAAACACTTAAATATTCTCAGAAATTAATTCCAATTTACTTTCCTCAAGATTCTTACAATGTTTCTGTATTGCCTTTTTCTTCCCACCATCAGCTCTCAGTACATTCATTTTAACTTTCATTCTATAAACCATAAAAATACAAACATACTGGGAAGGGGTGGGGTGGTGTTGAGAAAACTATATAATGAGCTATAGTCAAATGTAACTATGAAACTCAATTCATCTTTTTTTTTAATGTAGGCTCTACACCCAACATAGGGCTTGAATTCACAACCCCAAAATCTAGAGTCACGTGACCCACGAACTGACCCAGCCAGGTGCCCCAAAACTTAACTCGTCTTAAGCTCTCCTCTTTGCTTCTCCTAACTTGGCTTAAATACAAACCAACCAGGGATTGGCTCAGTCAGTTAAGTGCCTGACTCTTGATCTCAGCTCAGGTCTTAATCTCAGGGTTGTGAGTTCAAGCTCCACACTGCTGGGCTCCACACTGGCTGTGGAGCCTACTTTAAAAAAAAAAAAAAANAAAAAAAAAAAAAAAAACCTAACCTCCAGACTCCACACCCCCTAGCGTTTTCTCCTTCTCAGCCCAACTTCAAGTCACTTATCTTCTCTATAATTCATTTATATATTTTCTATTCACTATACAAACTACTACAATCTTTTTCCATCATCTACATTCTACTACATTTTCTCCTACATTAGCAAAGACTTTACCATTCAATCCAATGGCCATTCTGAGATGCTTATTGCTCAATCCAATGGGTATTTGGCCTTTCTGAGGCACATAGGCTATTGACCACTTACCTGTCCTTAAAACAAACCATTTTCTTTGCTTCCATGACCACCACTCTATCCTAGTTTATACAAGTTTGTATGTCTAAACCCTTAAAAGGCATTCTCCCTCCAAAAAATCCCTTGTATGCTGGTATCCCAAGCCTCTATCTTGAGTCACATTCACTTTAAAGAGACTTCAGTTACTACTAGTTTCACTTACCACCCAATACTGATGAACTTCAAACCCAATGTCTCAACCAGTTCTTTCTGAGCTCAAGACTCACACATAAAACTGCTTACTAGAAACCGTTATCCAAATGAAAATGAAATCCTCAACCTAATACATTTAAAATTAGTTTCACCCAGTCATTCCCTCCAAAGCTATCCTATTTCACCATTTACCTTACTGCCTAAGTCAGAAAACCTGTATGTCAGAAGGCTTACCTGTTCTGTAAAGGATGTTTAATATAGTGTTCTGGGTTAGCAACCTCCTGATTAGATTCTGTTTTCTCTTCTTCTGAAGGCGGGGGATTAGGAGTAGGGGTGGTTTCCTGATGGAAAATAACAAAACATTATTTTAAATTTCATGATAACAATACTCTAAATCAAATTGAACTAATATTGCCAATGTTCCTTCTCTAAGAACAAAGAATTACAGCAGAAGCAATTCATAAAACAGACCACAGACCAAGCTCTAGAAAAGCACCAGACTCTTCCATTCTAGCCATCTCTTCACTAAGAGAAAAGGGTTTCTCAAGTTTAAAAAGACAATAACCATATCATATACAGTTATCTTTCACTTACACATTTTAGTATCAGAAAGATTAGACATCATGCAACAAAGTTAAGGAAATCAGCTGTCTTTCTTAACACACTACTGAATTACTATGTATGGTTTGGAGGGTGGGGGGGAAATACAACTAAAGCTGGAGAGTCTAATAGCTTTATAAAGTGATCAAGCCAATACTATACAGGTCTTTCCTTCATGTCATACTGTTGTAACATATGGTAACCTAAAAGTTCTGTAATTTCTCTCATTTTCAACTGGCCCTAGGCAAAAAAAAAGCTTGACACTGGCTTGAACCTAAATCTTCTTGGCTAGACATAATTAATATTGTCATCTAAAAATGTCAGGGGGAAAAAAGGTGCATGTGGATCATCTGTGTGCTCTACAGTCCTCTTGTAGCTCTTCGCCCTATTAAAAATTATGGTCAACAAAACAGAATGCCAAGGAAAGGCACCAGAAGCTAAAAGAAAAGCTGATTTTGTTCAAAAAGGGGACCACAACAAGAGTCTAGGGGTCAAATTTAAAGCACCAAAACACTCGAGATACTATGTTCACATTAACAAGATTATGTAAATCAATTATGTAGGATCTAAAAGATCTCCTAGCAGGTAGGAGGGAAATACTCAACTTACAAAATACATTTTTCTTAATAACATGACATGTCCAAGAACTAATTTCTGCTAGCCTAAGAAGCCACTCACAGCAGGGGCTAGGTCTTGATTTTGCTCACAACTGTAATGCCAATTAGCAAAGTGCTATACTCAATAGGAATTTATTGGCTTGATTACTTAATTTAAACGTGTACAAAGCAGTTAAAACCCTAAAATTTACAGTCAATGCTTTAAAAAAATCACCATTTTTTACCAGCATTTTTCTATCAGTCAATTTACATCTTCATATAATTACCAAGCACCATTCCTTAACCCATTAGCTTAAAATTAATGACAGTCTCCAGACAGGCAGTCTCCATGAATAAACTGGGAACAGTTAGGGACTAAGAAGGCAGGAGGGCTCTGGGAGACAAAGTACTAGAGAAAAATGGGCTGCAGAGGTTTGAGCCTCAAAAATCTACATAAAAATCCCTCACAGGAACTTGGCTAGTTCCTAAACTGTGGCGTTCAGGGTAGAGGGACAGCTGAACCAAGACTTCAAAGGCTGAATAACATAAGGAAGACTGGGTTAAGACCAAGTCAGAGTGGGTGGGTAAAATCCTCAGCTTTCTGATGAAATTCTAGAAAGGCCATGCCCTAGGAATCAGGTGAAACACATCTGTCTAACAAATCCTAAAACCAATCTTTGACAATATCAAGGTAATCTACTTATAAACTGCCTCCAGGAATCAAACTCTACACTCTTCAGAAGGAGATAACATAATTCTGTGTCTCTATGAATGTTATTTACAACCCCCTACCAATCAAACATTACTAAACATGCAAAGAAGTTTTTAAGTCACTAATGATCAAGAGATTAACCTGTCCACAGAAAGACATCTAGACATGATCCAAATAAAGAAATTAATAACTATGATTACTATGGTAAGATAGCAAACTCTTAATAACCAAGACTAGTATAGTAAAATTGAAGATGGAGGGGAGGGTCAAAAAACCAGAGTATCTGAAAATGAAACTGAGGGTGCTAGGGTGGCTCAGTCAACTAAGCATCCAACTCGGTGTAGGCTCAGGTCACGATCTCATCGTTCTGGAGTCTGAGCTCCGCACTGGGCTCTGCGCTGTCAGTGCGGAGCCTGCCTAGAATTCTCTCTCCCTCCCTGTCTCTGTTCCTCCCCACCTTGTGTGCTCTCTCTCTCTTTCTCAAAATAAATAAATAAACTTAAAAAAAATAGGAAAGTGAAATCTATTTTTAAAAGGAACCAAATGGACATTATGGAACTGCCAAAATACAATGTCTGAAACTAAAAGCTCTCTTAATTTGATTAACAAGAACTTCAACTCAGCAGAATTTAAGACTGGTGAACTCAAAGATAGGTCAACAGAAGACACTCAAACAAATAGAGGGGGGAAAATAGATGGTTAAGAAACACTGTGGTACCAACAACAGCCAAACTACGAAGAGAGCCCAAATACCCATCAACTGATAGATAAAGATGATGTGGTAAATACACACACACACACACACACACACACACACACACACACACAGTGGGATATTACTCAACCGTAAAAAAAGGAAAAGAATGAAACCCTGCCATTTGCAACAACATGGATGGAGCTAGAGTGTAGTATACTAAGAGAAATAAGTCAGAGAAAGACAAACACCATATGATTTCATTCATATCAGACATTTAAAAAATAAAACAGGTAAAACATATGAGAAGAGAGAGAAAAAAAAAGAGAGCACAGGGAAGAGAGAATCCCAGCAGGCTCCATGCTGCCAACATACAGCCAGACACGGTGCTCAATCTCACAAACTGTGAGATCATGACCTAAACCGAATTCAAGAGTTAGAGGCTTAACTGACTAAACCACCCATGATCCCCTCACCAATCCATTCTTAATCAGCAGAAATTTAAGCCAAAAAGCTTACTATCAAACAGTCACTTTCTAAGTTTCTTGCAATTATGTTGTAAATTATTGCAAAGAAAAAAAAGACATGCTTGAGACTGCTGAGGCATGCCTCATTATAAAATCATTTCCTGTTCATTTCTTTATTTTATTTGTTGTTATAAAACCTCTTAACATTGATTCATATAATAGGATGCTTTTTTTAACTTAGATAACACAAGAAAATTAATATCAATGTAGGTTATTTAAAACTTTCAGGCTAATTCAGTGGCAGTAGTCCATTCTATGGAGCAAGTCCAATTCCTACACAAACTTTTCAATTTATGGCAACATATACAATGAGAAACGATGTCCAGAATGATGGCCATACTATATTAAATTCTTTGATCAAAAAATGATTTATAATTACAAGCATATGCCAAACCAGAACAAAGAAATACAATTTATTTTTCTAAGGAACTGAAACAAAACAACAAAAAAAAACACTTTCAGCTCCACTCCTCAGTTAAGCATAAGCCTGTATCAAATCCCCAAATGACCCATTATCGTTCCTAATTTGCTAAGTACTTCTAATATAAACTTAATTTGAAAATAAAATTATCTTAAGATTTTATCTCCACTTAAAACTATTTGTAAAGCTATTAACTACCCAGGTTTCTGAGATTTAGGATTACCATGAAATAGGTACAGGAGGGCTATCTGATATTTGTTAATAGCAACTTCACAAAATTCTCCCTGAAAACTCCATAGCAGGTGTTTTCATGGTATGTTTAATGACTTATTCAATAGGTTATTTTTAAATGTGTAAGATCATCAAATCAGCAAGGAAACATGATTATTCTATGATTGTAGAAGAACTAAAAAACTTATTTTATAACTTGTCATTTTTATTGTTGATTCATATATTGAGCAGACAATAAAACAGCTTTAAACTTATGTTCAATTTAAAAACAAAATTCTTTAGTGCAAAGCACCACATTCCTATACCTACTCTCTCAGCTTGGTGGTCTCCTCTGTAATCAAATTTCATTGGAAATTACAACTTAAATATCCATGTTTTACCAGTATTCCTAAATTTTAAAATTATGCAAAAACAGAAAAGGCTAATTTAACAGATGATAGCTACTCTCAAAGTAATCAGATACATTCTTTCCAAGTTTTTATTTAAATTCCATTTAACATACGGTGTGGTACTAGTTTCAGGTGTAGAATTTAGTGATTCAACACTGACATACAACACTGGGTGGTTATCACAGCAAGTGCCCTCCTGAAACCCTTCACCTACTTAACTCATCCCTCTAGTAACCATCAGTTTATTCTCTATAGTCTAGGGCCTATTTCTTGGTTTGCCTCTTTTTATAAACCTGTTTTGTTTCTTAAATTCCACATAGGAGTGAAACCATACTGGTTTTTCTCTGACTTAACATAATACTCTCTAGCTCCATCCATGCCATTGCAAAGGGCAAGATTTCTTTCATTTTTTATGGCTAATAATCCAGTGTGTATATACACAAACAAATACACACACAACACATCTTCATCCATTCACCAATGGACACTTGGCTGTTTCCATAATTTGGCTATTGTTGATATTGCTGCTATTAACACTGGGGTGCATGTAACCCTTCAGATTAGTATTTTTGTATCCTTTGGGTAAATATCTAGTAGTGCAACTGCTGGACTGTAGGGAAGTTCTATTTTAACTTTGTGAGGAACCTCCATAATGTCCTCCAGAGTGGCTGCACCAGTTTGCATTCCCACTAGCAGTGTAAGAGGGTTCCCCTTACTCCACATCCTCGCCAACACCTGTTGTTTCCTGTGTTGTTAATTTTGGTCAAAGTAATCAAATACATTTTAACTTAAAAGACAAACTATACTTGAAAAACTATTGTATAACACATTGCAAGTGGTTACAATGTTGGGGAGAATGGAGAGCATAAAGCCAGGGGATCCCCTGTGCAGTGCTTAACTAGAAGATGGTAAGGAACCAATGACACTTAAAAGAGAGAGCTCATGAAACCAAAGACAAGACCAGAACAGTGAGCTGAAGGGAGATTGTGAAAGGCCTCAAAGGTCAGGCTAAAAGAGTACCTTTCATCTTATGAGCAATGGAAGCCATTCACTGACAGATCAAAATGGTTAAATACTGATGACAAGGGAATAGAAAAGACAACTGGTTTAAGTGCAAAATATTAAACCTGGTTTTAAATTTGCTGAGTTAATGTGATTCAAATAAAAATGC